GCTCTTTTTCACCCCATCCAAGTGTGCCTGCCATCTTGTGACACAGGCTCTGCCTGTTTTAGATAGACTCATGTGCAGTTTGAAATGGACTGTAACACAAATTAATGCCTGCCAAGTCATCGAATACCTGGACCCCTGATTGCCAACTATGTAATAGCCTGTTTTTGGAGAAACATTTAACAATCTTTCATCATCTGAAGTTTGATGGCTTTTGTGAAACAAGAAAGAGGAAATTATTTTTTTTTCCTTTACCTCTGTCATATCAAAACCCTTTACCTAGTCATATAATCTCTTTTCAGTTCCCTGGCTACCAGCTTTTCATTACTCACAGTGCTCAGAAATATGGATTTACTCAGTTTTTAAATGAGATTTGATACTATCCAGGGACCGTTTTGTTTCCCTAAAGGGCATATACTGCCAGTTTCATAAAAGAAGTAAATGGAAAATAACATTCACTTTCTTGAAATTTGGTTTGTGGCAAACTAGATATAAATGTGCCCTTCTGCTGGGACCATTTGCACAGAACCAGTGCGCACAGCACTGCACCCTTGGGAATAGAGACCGTCTCCAAACAACAGCAATGGATGACTGATAATAATCTCTGAGTACAAGCTTCCCTTAAAAAAAGATAACAATACTCCTTTAAAACATAATACAATTAGAAGAAAATATTTAAGAACAAGAAATATGCCACAGTAAACTACTTCTGCTCCTAGAAACCACCCCCTTTTTTTCTTCTTCTCTTCCTTCTTTTAATGTGCCTACTTTTAGGGTAAAATATACTGAAATGCATATCTGTGCATTTTTGCTCCAGTTATGTATATACTTTCACTTCTGTTTTTTTTTTTTTTTAAGATTTTATTTATTTTTAGAGAGGGAAAGGGAGGGAGGAAGAGAGGAGAGGAATATCAATGTGTGGTTGCCTCTGGTGCGCCCCCTACTGGGGACCTGGCCCGCAACCCAGGCATGTGCCCTGACTGGGAATCCAACCGGTAACCCTTTGGTTTGCAGGCTAGCACTTAATCCACTGAGCCATACTGGCAAGACACTTCTGTTTATTAGCAAGGCCCCATTAAACCTATTAGGGACATACCCAAGGTGGACACTATGTTGGGGAAACTCCATTTCAAAGGGCTTGGATGACTCATTTCATTTACAGGCAGATTATCTCTCCTGAACTTTCACAAAAAAATGGCCCAAAAATGTACGTGTGCTTACCAATTTTACTTTAAGCTGCTTTCTAGTTGAATAAATATATCCATTGTCTGTAGGTAAATATCAGGTAAACCAAGAGGCAGATAAACAACATACCCTTTTATCCAATAGCATTGTGAAGGCATTTTTATTTATTTATTTTATTGTTCAAAGAAAATCGAACTCTTTTAAGAAGGAGGAGTCTTTGAACACATAATTAATGAGAAGTAAAGTTATTTGACATCCTCTAGTGGGACTTTGCAACATGTTACATTGTGAATTTAAGAATGTAACATGCTCACCAGCAATGTGAACCTCTGTCATCCCAAGATGAGGTTGGACTTGACTGCATGCACAATTTCAATAAGGAAGCTTTATTTGTAATTAATTATGAAAACAGCTTCTGCTGCTTGATATTTACAATGAACTTTATTTCACTTTCGTATATTCTTGTATCTGTTCAAGTCAAGAAAAGTCAACTCATGTAGGTCTATTAGAAAAGGACACATTACTAGCTTTAAAATCATCTTTCTGCAAGTCAGGCTTGCTGATACGCTCTTGTATTTATTTGCATCCAATTGAGAAATACTTCAAAGCTAACAAAGCAGCATTGATGAGTTCTTGTAAGCTTTTATATCATCCTTTATGGAACCCCAGTGATGAGCCAGATTTTCAAGGATTTATTTCAATGTCATGCTTTTTTTTTAAACCCTCATCATTTTTGTTCACATAAATGAACACCAGTGATTCAGATTTCTAACATGCCCTTTAGCAGATGAACTAAATTCCTTTCGTCTTGTAAGTAAATACAATCAGGGAGTGATATTAGACCATCACTTGGCGTATGAATACATAACTTGCAGTGGCTGGCAAACCCGCACCCATGTCAGGGGCCTCTAAGGCCCAGGAGAGAATTACCGACTTGAGAATAACAGGCTCTTTCATAACCAAAATGAAACTGCTGACTCAACCTCAATAAAAACCTGGGGCTTGTCAATTTTTCCAGACATGCTGATAGATTTGTGCTGATCTCTTTATACCCCATCGCCTGTCCCCACTGTGATCAATATCATGTGATAATAAGATGGCTGACCGGGGCTCAGAGAGCTCTTTGTAACTTTGATTATTCTGCTGTATTGTAACTAGTGAGGTACCTGTTCCTTTAACGCAGTTTATTACCAAAGTGTTAAGTTGAACCATTTGAGAGTGATGTTTTTGTAGATCAAAATACAGGAAGTTGAATATCAGTTTTGGCACATGATTCTAACAAATACCAAAAGAACTTTTCTAAAGGGTAGTTTTGTCATGTTTTTGTAGTATGGACTTGTAACGCCAGTCTAAAATTACAGTTAATATTTTGTTGTTGTTGTTCTTGTTTCCTGCTGGCTGTTTGTCTTTTTAACTTTAATGTTGTGGATGTGATTTTAATGCTTCCTCCCTTTATTTCTTGATTACTTTGCATAATTTAGTAAGAAAGACCAAAAAGCAACAACACATTTACACCAACAACACATTAAATATAACAATTTCTAAGCCTAAATCTTTCTTCAATACATTTTTAAGAAAAGAAGCATGATATCATTGAACTGCGTGAACTCATAAGAACAAGCAAAATTGTGTCAGCCAGATGACTGCTGGCATTCTGCTAAATGGTTTACACAATCTCTGGAATAATAACAACGCGTCCCCTGCAGTCAGCATGAGGCCTTTCTTGGTGGATATGTATACAGTGAGTCATATAAATCTTCCATCCCTCACACATATATCTGTGCAAGGAATTTCCTAAAAACATCCAGGAAATTATAAGAGTATGATTGAATTCCAAAGTATCAACTTAAAAATATACAAACTCAGTTTAAGGTCATCCCTTATAGGAAACATCAAAAGGAAAATGGCATTTTTCTTTTTTTTTAAGTAAAGATGATGGATTCATCCAATATTTTTAAAAAGAAAAAACACAAGTCACCTAGTTAACTTTCAAACTCCCAGAATAATTTAAGGCAATAAGAAATATCATGTGTTTTTGACAACTAGATGCTTGAAGTAACTCTGCAGGACTTTCACATTTTCATAAGATTATAACTCACTGTATCTTTAGTGCATATCTATAATGCTTCGGGCTAAACTTAAAACAAAACAAAACAACCCAAAACAGACACTATCATAGTAGATGGAAATGTGGCTATAGTTGCTACAGACTTCCTCTGTTAGACTGGGAAATTCATTTAACCTCTCTTATATTAAATTCTCCAACTTGTCCATAAATACATAGCTTATTAGTGCAAGGGGCAATTGTAAAGAGTTTGTATTAGTTGAGATTTATTGATTTTAGCTATTTTCAAGTCCTGGTGTACTTAATTACCCAAAAGTTTTATCGACTATGAGCAATATCACTTTTATTGTCACCATTTTAAAAAAGTTTCAAGGAGGCTAATCAATAAATTATTGTATATACCTTTGAAAATGTCAGATTTTACACAGACATATTAAGTAATATTTGTCATTTGCAAACCCTTGAACCACTCTCCCTTCCCTTTGTCAGCCTGAAAATATGTTCTTCCCTCTGCTTTGTCATGGAAAAAGGGGTAGAGAGTAGAGTAGGGAAAATCCTCCAATTCTACAACCTGGAAGGGAATGACGGCCAGTAGGTGGGCGAATGTGAATCACCTTAGCTGTGATTCTTTCTGGAAGATGGGCTCCATGGCTTTTTCAATGAGGGCCCTATCCTGTGAGAATGTTTCTTGTCCAAGGAGAAGGCTAGGACTTTCATCTAAATCTCAAGAGAAGAACATGCCTGCTGCTTAAGTGTGATCGTAGGAAAGTTCTAATTAGCTCCACAGTGCCTTGGAACCGTCCAGACCTGTTTAATGCACAACCAGAAGGGTGAGCCTACCCTGGTCGCCCTGCCATGTGTCTCAAACCCATTGTTTTTCCCAGGGACAGGACTAGGGCACAAAATGAAGGAGGCACCAGAAAATGTGGTACTCAAGATAAATAATATTTAAAAAAATTTAAGTTAATACAAAAAAGTCCATGATGAACAAAATGTCAAAAGCTGTAAATAGAGACATGATCAATATCATTACCTCCCTCTAGTCCTACATGACATGGCAAAACATTGCTACTGATTCAGCCCTTACTTAAAATTTTACTGATGTTTTTGGGTACCTCTTTAAAATGTGCACCCAAGAGAAATGTTGAACCCTGATATCCTTTTCTTACTTTGCATTTTGTTTTCTGACTAGCTCAGACTCTCACTAGCTCCTGACCTACATCACCTCCTGACTATGGTGTTGCTCCTTTCTTTCTATACACTAATGTCCAAGAGATCAAGGATTGTGTCTCTGGGTCATAGGTGAATCTCTCACAAAGCTCAGTCTTTGGCACAGCACCTGGCACATAGTAGCTGCTTCATAAATGCTGACTGAATGAATGGAGCTCAAAGCTATGTATAGCTTTCTTGCATGATTATGTAGGTGAAAAAATGCCTCTGGCTGGACCCCTACCCTCAAGCTTGTTTTGGGGGCCACAGACCCCACTCTAGGATTTTCCTGAATACTACGGACAAGGAACCAGAAACAATATATCTTGTGTTTCAAGAAACTCAGAGGTGTGTAAGTAGATTCAAATGAGAATCAAAAAGATGATTGACCTTTTTGGGGGAAAAAGTAACTAAAACCATGTGGGGGTATTTCAAAATGATCTATTTTGTAATAGACCCAGAAAATGCAATATATATCATTTTGAGGGTTTTTTTTTCAGTGATGTCTTAAATTTCTCAACTTTGGGGAGTTCGGAGCACTTACCTTCAATGGTACACTGATCAGGGACTGGGATCTTCTTTCCGATTTCCACAGCGTATGCTTTCACTTTACTGAGGTTCTTCTTTAAGTGCAAGTAGAGCTTATCCTGGTATTCTATAGGACTTACAGTCATCTCTAGAGTTTCTTCCTGGTAGTTTTTTTTAACTGTTTCTGGCAGATTCTCTGATTCTATATGTATAATACTTGGGTGTGAAACTGAAGAATTCCCCAGCTGTGATCCATCAGTGTCTGCCTTAAAAGGCAACTTATTTCCTTGGCTAAGTGAATCTATTTCTGAAAGAGAGATGCTGGCTGGTATATCGCCACTCCCAACAACTTCCCCGTCATCTGAACTCATATCCTTTGTGAGCACAGTGTGCAAAGCCAAACTCTTCGACCTATAAGACAAACAAAGGGAAGGTTGAGACAGTAAAGAGCTACTGTTCATTGACAAAAAAAGGAAAGAATAACGCTGGGCAAAAGTTATTTCATCTGGAGTATGAAATGGAAAATCGGAGCTATTAACAGATTTGATAGAACATAGACCACCAAATTATGTAATAAGCCAAATCTTTGAAGATCTATACCACCTCCCAAAATGAAGATTTAAAAATCAATTTCATGCAAAACTGGCTGGAATATGGTGGACTTACATATTTATATTCCTTTTTCTACTTCAGCTTTTTCATCAGAAGTCAAGCTTTTGATAAGTCATTCTCAATATTAGCACATCTAAAGAATTGAAAAAGTATTTTTAAAAAAATAAACCATAGGTTTGTTTCCAAATTTGTATTCTCTTTTTTAAAAAAGAGAACTTCTTTAGATAATTAAAGCATTGTGGGGGACATTTCATTCATGAAAGGATGGCAATTTGGGCAACTATAGGTAAAAGATCCTTAAAAATCACCTGATAGCAATGTGATAACAAAACCAGCAGCAAGCATGAATTACATACTTTAAAAACCAGCCAAGCAAAATGAATACCTGCTAAATCTAATTCCTTTTTTTTCTTCATTGGAAATGTGGCCCAAACTATATCTTCTGATAGATCCAGGAGTATTGTTCTCAGCATTTATTTTGTCTTCAAAAGCCTGTATTTTAACTTGGAGCTTTTCCTGGTCTTCATTTTCAGCTATGGCGAGCTTGGTTCCTTCTAGCTTCTCAGGGAATTCAATTTCAGTGCTGGTTTTTCTCCTAAAAGAATAAAAATCATTGCATTGGAAGCTGGTCACATACACCCTTCAGAACAGCATTGCTCTCTAACTGCTTTTTATTCAAAACTGAAAACTTTACCTGATAAATTTTTTATTAGTCATTTAACAAATATTTATTAACAACTATGAACATAGGTCTTTGAAATTGTTTCTATAGCTTATTCTGCCAGAAGTGTGAAGCCTTGATGTTTATGTCAACTTTGTATTAGAAATAATTTGAAGGATTCAGAGAATTAAAAGCAGTTTTTATGGTCATCTGCAATATTCTGTCTAGCTCTCCAAAACCATGGCTTTCATATGAAATTCATGCCAGGCATTTTGTAGAAAATTTACACGTGCTGATCTGTTTGTACTGAAGTTGACAGAATAGGAAGATTTCAAACGGACTGTGTAAACTCATGATTTTGTTAATTTTATGCAAATCAATGTGATTCTTTCATCTTGGAAAGCAACAAACATCTTACAGAATTTTAATATGTTGGATAAAAGAGATTTTCCATGAATGATATTAATATTCTAATATCTTTGATAGCACAATTTATAAAACACTCTGCGAGTCATTAAAATTGCCTCCTTTAAGGCAGGGGCTTTTTGAGGAGTAACTCTGAAAGGGCGAGCGCAGTGCCTTGGATAGAGCAGGGGATACGAAGTAGCTGCTGGAATAGCTTGCTGCTGCTCACTAAGGTGCTGAATGATTACAGAAATGCCGTCTGCATTTATCTTCTCTACCCCGCCTGCTAATAGGAGCCCACCTAGAGCTATTTTAATTTTTATTTATCATGTGGGGTTAGTATTCTTTTTTTTTTTTTTAATAACGCAAGGGTTAATTATCCCTAGAAGCCAATTCATCAAGATGGCTTAATGATTCTGTTGGTTTGTCTGTGTGTATTTACTTGGCTCTTTTAGCATTTTCCCTAGAAGTTGAGGAAAGGACCCAACACTTACAGAAATATCCTGACTTTTGCAAACACATGACTATTTTTTCCTAAGGGCCAAAGTAAAGCTGGCATAGTACTTTGGTGATGGTGAGAAAATACAATTTTTTTAAAAAATGGCACTGCTTTTTAATGAAAAACCAAGGCAAAAGGGCTGGTGACAATTTTTTTTCAGTTACATCTCACCCATTCTTGGGCCATGTCTCTGGTGAGCACTGGGGAAGGCTGGTTGGCAGGGTTGGATCCTGCAGCTTTTGTGGCTGGCCAAGACAGGGGTCCTGGCATTTAGAGAGGGTTCATAATTGGGGGTCTTCAGTGGTTGGAATTCCCTTGTTAGTTCAGCCAACTAAGTACATTAACAGGGCAAGCTGGGGAGAAGAGTAGGTCATCCATTAGGTCACCAGGAACTTGTTTATTGTCTAAGAAGCTATTGCTGAGAAAATTTAAATACATTTTTATGTAATTTTATAGGCATTCTATGGTTTTTTCCATACGTAATACAAAATTTATTACCCATACCATGCTTGACTGAAACATACATGAGTCAATTTCAAGAATCAGTACATGGAAATAAAGGTTAATCGTGAACATGGTTCCCTTTCTGACACATATATGATACTTGTTGCCCACAAACAGATGGGAGGCTTGGACATCTCCTAGCCAGAAATGGTTTCATTTCCTGTTACAAATGAAACCAAGATAGTGCTATCATTGGATAGTATTTTACAAACCATGATGATTACCAAGGTTAATGTTAAAAGATCCAATAAACCCTCTCAAGATGAGAAAGTTTGGGAGTATTTATTTTCTATCTATTTTTCTGGTTCTTTATATTTCAAAAATGAAATGTGAGTATGTTACAAGAAGTCTATTTTAGAAGTTGCTCTAGCTGGGATTATCAAAACTTAACAAGTTGTAAAAGCACAAAGTCTACCACAATATACACATATCACATATTGGGCATTATACAAATTTTTAAACTTCAAAACATGTGAGTTGTTCAAGGAATAATTTCTCATGAATTTACTAGTTTTCTTTTTGCACATAAAGCTCTGGGTTACAACAACAGTTAAAATAGTAGTTTCATTGTTTTTTTGGTTGGGTTTAGCCAAAGGAAAACGCCGGCAGGACGTTGGATGGAAGAGGTCGGGTCAGGGCAAGGAGTCTCCTGGCTCCCTCTCCATCAAGGCATAGTTTCCCCTACTGAGACCACAGCTCCTGTTGAAAAGCTTGTAGGAGAATGTAACCGTTTTGTCTCCCCCCGACCCCCCGCCCTGAACAGTCTTCACCTCCAGTGGCTGCAAGTGGTCACAGTGATTGTCCCTTGTTCGTCGCTGTGGATCTGGGTGGCCTGGAGCCAGAGGCCACTACTGTCTCTTCCTATCCAGCCCAGGTGGGGAGGGAGGGAGGTTTTAGACTCCAGATCCCTTTCCTTGCCATCTTATTCCCAAGCCTCCCTGGGCCCAGGAAAAGCAAGTGGTGGGGACCCTCTGCCGGCTTCCAGAGCTTTGGCTGAAGACAGTTCTTTCACTCCTACTCAGGGACGATGGCTGAAATGGTGGCCGCCAGTCACACCTAAGAGCTGGGGCCCTGAAATCCAGGGATCACTTGGCCTCAGGGGCCACTTAGTAACCTCCCAGCTGAGAGGGGCCACTGTGCCGCCTGTCTGTCACCACAGTGCCTGTGCCAGAGGCGGAGAGGTGAGTCCTTCAGAGCTTCCTGGCAGCTCTCTGCCCTGCTCTGGCCGCTCACCTCCCTAACCCTTTTCTTCTTCTGGCTGACCTGCCCTCCCCTAATTTAGGTCTCTTCTTGTCTGTCCCTTTGGGACTGAGTGAAAAGAAAAATAGCATTGCCTCTCCCTGCACCCACTGCCAAAAGGAATCATCAAATTTCACATGATTATAATAAATCTTCCTAGATAGTTTTATTGGACCAATTTCTAATGTTTTAAAAATAAAATTTTCTTATTTATGAAGTTTTTTCTTTTATTTGTTGTACTCTTTACACCAATTTCCCTGTCTATGAAATGGGGACCATAGTGTACTTAACTCATTGGACTGTTCAAAAGATGAAATGAAAAGAACCAGGGTGTGGTACAGTTCCTAGCACATAACAGGCAGTCAATAGATGTTACATTGTATTATTGTTATTAATTGTTTTTATTACTGTTGTTTCTTTGGAATTTAATCTGCCATATCTATACCTTGTGTTAATATATAAAGAAAACATCAGTGGCTGAGATGCAGGCTGACCAAAACTCCATATCCCAGAAGGAAGTGATGTCCCTGGAGAATGCAAGGGCCTCAGACTACAGGAGAGGACAGTCACACAGCTCCCTTTCCTTGCCCGGTCTCCAGGTACCAGGTGTTGGTTAGTAAGCACTGTGGCCTGAGTCAGAGCTCTCCCAGAGGGGGGCGTAACTTCTTTCTCCCTCAGACTGTGTGTAGCATCCCTTGGAGGGGACTTTGGGCATGCGAGAGGCTATGACTTATCCCTGGATGTCCACCAAGAGGGGTAAGGCAGGTGTCTCTAGTCGGGGAGGAGAGGGTTGCCAGGTTAAATACGGGATACCCTGCCAAATTTGAATTTCAGCTAACAAAATTTTTTGAAATTTTTTAGTATGTGCTAATGAAATATACTAAAAATGTATTATACTATACGAAAGTGATTTTATTTATTCTACAAATGATTTGTTCTTTACCTAAAATTTAACTGGATGTCCTGTATTTCTATTTGTTAAATCCAGCAACCTTACCCCTGGCAAACCCCTGCTGCTTGGTGGGCAGAGACTGGTACTGCTTATTTTGTTCCCCTGTGCTTGGCCCGCACAGGCACCGGAAGTGTCTGTGGAATAAATGAACAGACACCGCCTTGATTTCGGAGGCCAGCCTGCACGCCCCCGCCCCCAACCTCCTGAGTTCTAGGAGATGCTCATGAAGTGCTGGCTACTCTTCCTGGTCCATGGGAGGTGGTGTCATTGGATAAATATCAAATGTGAAGAGAAACAAGGAGCAAGAAGAGGAACGAAAAGATTTGCAAAAGGGCCAAATAAGAAGTGTGAAAAAGCAACACTAAAATGTCTGGGCCAGAGAAGTGGTCTCTGGTTATGAGGCTGCTGAGAAGAATTCTCACCGCAAAGACTTTCTGTTATACACAGTTTTTATTGTTTTCTGGATCTGGAAATTTGTATAACACAGGAGGCAGGGACCAGGGGTAATAATGGAGAGTCACCGAGGCAACCAAAGCTGCAAGGTTGGCCAAGGAGAACTTTCTCTCACTGGCCATCATTCCCCCTGTGCTGGCCACACAGTTTTTCTGGCAGGGAATTAGGGCAAGTTATGAGTCCAATGGGCTGGAAGTTCAGGAAATGGTAGACAAAAGTTTGAGCTTATGTAAACATTCACTGCTTCTTCTCCTCTTGGTTTTTAAATTTTAAAGAATTGGAGAGAATTTGTTCATAAACAAAGGCCTTTCCCAGAGATAAACTCTGCATTCCTTCTAGAGCAAGGAAATGTATCCCAAATGTGAAAAAACTGGTGAATCTGTTGGTCCTGTTTGGGGTGGGGGCCAGTGGGCTGGGGTTGTTATTTCTTTTCCATTTGTCACTTCTAACTCCAGAAGTAATTTCACGGAAATCTTTGTCAGTGGTCTATAATCCCCTAAATATTAACTTGGCTTTAACTCAACACACCACATTACAAGAGGCTCAGATGATTTCCAGTCTGAATGATTTCTGGTCTCTGTTGCCAAAGTCAAGTTTTTAAAAATACCTCTAGGGATGCCCGGGGGAGGCCTAATTACCTCCCTCTGTGTGAGTGGGACTCCCTTTGGAAACAAATTGGTCCTCGGGCAGCTTTCTGCTCTCACTAAGCTGGGAGATGAGACTATAAAGCTGGCAGGCATGGAGAGATTGGCAGCCTCTCTTCCTGGATCCTTAAATCAAAGAAAAAATACTATTAGTTAATGTTTGATGAGCTTGGCTTACACTCCCATGTCCAGGATATGTAGTCCTGCAAAGTTAACCTTGTTAAAAGAGAAGTGGGAG